ATGTTGCATTTGCTTCATTTCCTTTTTTCCTATTTCAGTTCTCTGGATTAATTAATTTATTTTTATTTATTTTGGACTGCACTGAGTCTTCATGGTGTGTGGACGCTTTCTCTAGTTGCGGCAAGTAGGGGCTACTCTACTCTTGCAGTGCGTGTGCTGCTTATTGCGGTGAATTCTTTTGTTTTGGGGCACAGGCTCAATAGTTGCGGCACACAGGCTTAGTTGCTCTGTGGCATGTGGAATCTTCCCAGATCAGGGATAAAAAGTCCTGCATTGGCATGTAGTTTCTTAACCACTAGACCTCAGGAAAGTCCCCTCTGGATTAATTTAATGGTGCCACACCAGTGCTATGAACCAAATAGCTATGTAAAATATTGATTGGATGCCAGAAAAGGTTATATATTAGTTCCCTGTCATACAGAGTGAAGTAAGTCAGAAAGAGAAAACAAATATGTATTAACACATATATGTGAAATCTAGAAAATGGTACAGATGAACCTATTTGCAAAGCAGAAATAGAGACACAGATGTACAGAACAAATGTATGGACACCAGGTAGAAAGGGGAATGAATTGGAAGATTGGAATTGACATATATACACTACTATGTATAAAATTGATAACTAATGAGAACCTAAAGTATACCTCAGTCAATGCTCTGTGGTGACCTAAATGGAAAGGAAATCCAAGAATATATTCTTAAGGCATAAAGAACACTTAAAAATTATTTAAAGATGAATACCATAAAAGAAAAATGGTCACAAGAGAAGACACTCCTATCAACCAGCAAACTTAAGGAACAACTCATCACCACAAATCAGAGAAATGTAAATAAAATCAAAAGATTGAAAACACTTACTCAAAGGCTGAATCAAGAATTTGGGATTGTTGTAAGACAATCACAGTGACAGTGTAATTAATGTTCCATAAATTCTAAAATATTGTAAATGGAATGCCATCCCATAAATATATGGAAACTAGAATGATTTCTTTGGGCTATTAGATTTTGATGCAAAGGTAAAAATGATTCACTTGTGTTAATATTTAGTTAGATAGAGCAGCTTCAGCTGCATGCAGCAAATTCTGATAAATTCTCATTTTATTTTTATTCTGTTACAAATATTCTCTAATTTTCCTTGTTATGGCTTCTTAGGTATACCCATCATTTAAAAGTGGACATTTTGTTTCCAAATACATGAAGTTTTTAAATTATCTTTGATATTAATTTCTCAGTTTGATAGTTATCATTTAATGATTCCTTCTCTGTAATCACCCTGTGTGTTTTCAGTGTTTGAACTTTATTGAGGCTTTCAATGGCTAAATCAAAGATCTCTCTTGGTAAATGACACATTGCATTTGAAAATATCTGGGCTATTTTCAAATATCTTTTGATACTGATTTCTAACTTAATTCCACAGTGATAAGAGAACAGATTGTATGATTCCAATACCTTTAGGCCATGAAATTTTTGCATCTTGTTTTATGCAACTGGATATGTTCCAGTGTCTCCTGCTTTATAGTCTATGGGAGCTTGAATTTGTATCTTGCTGTTGTGTGAAAATTGTATAAATCTTAATTATGTTGAATTGGTTCATAGTGGTTTTCAGGTCTACTATTTCATTCTATTAAGTTTTGAGAGTTTTATATTGAAGCTTCAACTAAATCTTAATTTATCTACTTAAAAAATAATTGTAATATGTAATTCTAATAGGTATGAAAATGCAGAACAATATAACTTTGTTCTGTATTTTCCATATCTCCTGTAAATGGGTTGTCATACTTTCATAATTAAAAAGAACAAAACAAAAAATGATTCATAACTAGCACTTTCATCCTGATAAACATCTCTTCAGTGCTTATTGGTTCTCAAACTTAAACACCTTAGGATCAAGTCAACTTATCACATCATCTTCTTAGAAGTAGTAGTTTTTAAAAGAATAACACATACACACCAATTCCAAAGCAAGTGGATGGCTTACAGACAGTTGAAAATGTCCATTGGTTCTGCCCCATAGGCTGGGGGAGGCTGGGAGTGGCAGGAAGGTGTTCATGTGAGCATAAGGCGACATCGCTCCAGAACAGACTCTCTTATTGCAGGTTTGTCACTGCATTTACGTAAACAGTTGTGTGTGTTGACTGTGCGCACACGTGTCTTAGGAAGAAGAAAATGATTGGAGAGCAGAGACAGCAACACATGATTTGAATTTCACCATTCTAGAGAAAAGGATGTCAAATGCTGGCTGGACACTCAGCAATTCATCCGCAAAGCCTTCAGACGAAATAATGAGAGGGACAAGTGAATATCTCTTGTTAAAGATCAACTTTCCCAGGGAGCAAAAAGAATGCCAGGGCAGTGAGACAAAAGACATGCCTCTTCATCATGAGTGTCATTCATAAAATGTCCTTTTGTCTATTCAGAGCGATTTTGGTCCTTGGCTCTGTGGGCCAAGGGTAGAAAAGAGCAAGAAGGAATTTTTATCATTAGGCTTTCAATGAACTGAACTTTCTACGAAAGAATTCAACTTATTTATTTTTTTTTTAAAGCAAGGGTGGTTTTGTTTTGCTTTTTAAAGCTAGAGGATACCATATGGTAAGTGATTTTGCTGAACACACCAGAAAATGTTTTTAAATGGATAGTTTGTTAAGTGTATTTGAACCTGGAGTGGAAGAAAAGAAAATAGGATGCTAAGTTTTTCAATAAAGACTGCTTGCCTGGCAAAAGGATAGTTCCCCTTGAAGTTGATAAATACATTCAACATTTGCTGAGATCATAATCTTAAATCCTTAATGAGAGCTGATCAAAACCCCTACTCCCACCCCAGCAACCAGCCAGAAAGGGAGCAATCTGTTTGCTGGCAGTGAGGTATCCGTTAGTTGCTAACTGATGAAAGCCTTTGCCCACCCCAGATGAGAAAATAATGCATATGCTTGGGAAGCGCTGATTGGCAGCACCAGCTCAGTAGTAGTCAGTGCAAAGAGGAGGCTCATGGAACAAGAGAATTGACTCTAGAGGCTTCCTTCCTCTGTGCATCAGCAAACCAGCTGTGATCAAATATTTATTAGCTGTGCCTTTGGCTGAGCTATCTAAGCATAAGAGAAAGAAGGAATTTTAAGGCAAGGGCCGGATATCTCACGTATGTGCTGCCTAGATACAAACATCTGCTCTTTAATTAAGCGCATAAGTCTCCAACCACCCCCTCCCTCTTGCTCCTGAGCTGTGTGCGCTTGCTTATTTTGCAGCTGTATTTAGTCACGAAATTTCTTCCAGAGCCACTCTGAGTCTGGGGAGGGAACCCGTGACCAGTGAGTCAGATTTGTTTTAACTTGTGAAAAGGGTTATTGATGAATTGAGACGGCATTCCTACTCGGTCAGGATAAACTCCAATCATTGCAGTAGAGGGTGAAGAAAAGGCCACTTGTCCTCCCTGCGTCCTAGAATTCAACTTGCGGTCCCACTCCACCTATTCCCTGCTCCTCTGGAAACCTTTCTCATTGGCACAAAAGGGTCATTACCATCCAGTGGTAATGCAGAAAAGCCAGGGCCAGGGGCTGTGAGGTCTCTCTTTAGTTTAGCTCTGGGTACACTAAAAGGTCTGTTAGTTATCTCAGCACCCTTGTAAGTATATTACTGATTCTCCCTTGTAGATGATGATCCCAACAGTCAAAGAAGAGGTTGAACTCTATGTCAACCTCTATGTCTATGTGTATGAGGTCTGTAGTTAGAGCCAGTGGGTCTAATCATTCAAGGAGACAGCAGTCTCAAAATTAAATGGAGCACAAGCTCGATTTTAACAAGAAAGAACCCCTGCCTTTGGACATTCTGATTTAGTAGGTTTGGGATAGAGCATGCTAATCTTTTTTTAAGTTTACTATCTAGATTTATTTTACTTCATTTAAGTTTTTTTTTGATGTATTTATTTTTAATTGGAGGATAATTGCTTTACAATGTTGTGTTGGTTTCTGCCATAGATCAAAATCAGTCAGCCATAGGTATACATATGTCCCATTGCTCTTGAAACTTCCTTTCAACTCCCACCCCATTCTACCCCTCTGGGTTGTCACAGAGTACTGGTTGAGCTCCCTGAGGCATACAACAAATTTCCACTGGCTATCTATTTTATTAATACATATGGTAATAGGGCTTCCTGGGTGATTCAGACGGTAAAGAATATGCCTGCAATGCAGGAGACCTGGGTTTGATCCCTGGGTCAGGAAGATTCCCCTGGAGAAGGGAATGGCAACCCACTCCAGTGTTGCTTGGAGAATTCCATGGACAGAGGAGCCTGACAGTCTAGTCGATGGAGTGTCAGAGAGTTGGATACCCAGCGACTAACACTTTGACACTTTCATGGTAATGTATATGTGTTAATGCTACTCTCTCAATTCGCCGCATCCTCTCCTTCCTTCACCACATCCACAAGTTTGTTCTCTATGTCTGTGTCTTCTACTGTTGCCCTACAGATAGGTTCATTAATACCATTTTTCTGGATTCCATATATATGCGTTAATATATGATATTTGTTTTCCTCTTTCCAACTTAACTTCACTCTTTATAACAGAGAGCCTGCTAATCAACATGTTCAGAAATCTTTCCAGACTCTAATTGAGAATTTTTCTGGGTCTATATGAAATTCTATTAACCTAAATGCATTAATTCTTTATATGAAATGGCACCAGAAAGAATCAGGTTCATTATCGAAAGAAAAGTCAAGGTGTAAACACATACACACCCATACCCATCCCACTGTCCAGCACGCCTCAGTGGGAACCAGGGAGGGTCTGGCTGCTTCACCTTTTTGGAGTCCCATCTTCCTTTCTTTTACAATGGAGATGACCAGGCTGTTCTGTATATGTAGAATGGTTTGTGTTAAGCCAGAATGAAAACTCCCTAAAAAGGAAAAAATACCCAAAAGAAATGAAAAAAAAAAATCTGATTGTAGCTGACCAGTCAGGTCTGCCCATGATTTCACCTTGAGGTCTGACTCGATCTCCCCTTTTCAGCCAGCACGGTCCGGCCAGAAGATGATGTGACTACAGATGTGAAAGATGAGAAGACGACCCTGGGTGTGGAAGATTACATGACAACCCCAGCTGCCAGTAAAGAACCTTTGGCAACTCCGGTGAGTGTCCCAAGAAGAGAGGAAGTTGCTTCATAGACATGTGATCACATGCAAGGATATTTTGAGACCGGCTTATTTCAGTATGCTTGAGCATAATTGCCCCCAGTGTTCATCCATGTTGTAGCATGTGTAAGAATGTTTTCTCTTTGGAGGTTGAATAATATTCCATTGTATGTAAGTATATACTACATTTTCTTCATGCATTTGGATTGCTTTCAATTCTTTGTTTTTATGAATAGGGCTATGAACATGGATGTGCAAATATCTCTTCCAAACCCTGCTTTTAATTTTTTTGGGTTTATGCTCAGAAGTAGCATTGCTGGATCATATGCTAATTCTATTTTCAATTTTTCTGAGGACCTCCATTCTGTTTTCCCTAGTGTTGCATCCATTCTATGACCCCATCAACAGTGCACAATGGTTCCAATTTATTTTCTGTTCTTTTGATAGTAGCCCTCCTAACTGGTGTGAGGTGATAATCTCATTGTGCTTTTGATTTGTTTTTCTCTGATAATTAGTACAATTGAGTATCTTTTGTATGTTTGTTGGCCGTTGTATACCATGTTTGGAGGTTGATTTACTCGAGTCCTTTTTCCCATTTTTAAAATCAGGTTATTAGATTTTTTTGGTATTCATTCATAGGAGTTCTATATACTTTTATCAGATAATATGATTTGTGAGTATTTTCTCCCATTCCATAGGTCACCTTTTCATTCTGTTGATTGTGTCCTTTGATGCACAAAGTTTTTAAGTTTTATATAATTCCACTGATCTGTTTGTTTGTTTTTTTGCCTGTACTCATTAGCTTGTTAAATGCTATATTGACATGAACTTTGGAGTCAACAAAACCATTTCCAAGTCTTGTTCTGTTGCTTGTTGGCTATGTGAGCTTGAGCATATTATCTGATCTCTCTAAACCTTGTTCATATTATAGGGCTAATAATAGAATTTACTTCTTGAAACTTCCCTGGTGGTCCAATGGTTAAGAATCCGCTTTCCAATGCAGGGGATGTGGGTTCAACCCCTGGTTGGGGAACTAAGATTCCACATGCTGTGGGGCAACTAAGCCTGTGTGCCGTAACTACTGAGCCTGCACACTCTGGAGCCCTCGAGTCACAACCAGAGAAGCCCACACCCAGCAAGGAAGGCCCAAAGCAGCCAAAAATAGCTTAAAAAAATAGGACTTACTTCTTAGGGGTTTTTTGTGGTGTTAATGAGAAGGTATTTAGAGGGCCTGCAAATGGTAAGCTCTGGGGGAGGAAGGGCATTAAAAATAATACAACATAATATGTGCTGAATAAACATTACAGGAAAAAATGTACCATTCAAGTTCAAGGGAAGGAAAGAATTAATGCCTAGTGACCCAGTATTTTCTAAAATCTTACACCTCAGGTAGTCAGCATGCTCAGCATTTGGGATTTATTTCTAGAGTAGGCATGATTTTATTCCTGTCTCCATTCTTGTTTCTTATGTGTGTTATCTTGTTTCCACTTTAAATTTATGCCATCATATAGCTTATATATTTATACTACTTTAAATCAGTTTCTGACATAAGATAGAGTATATATTTTACAGTATTAAGTTTTATTTCTGTTTTGCCTTTTACATCTCCAATAGATGCTGACAGGAACAGAGAATGTAACACAAAGTCACAGAGAAGATCTGCCAACAGGCGAAAGCACAACAGCCAAAAGCACACCTGCCCAGAGCACAACTACCAAGACCACAGTCCATACCCATGTACCAGCAACTAGTCACTCCCAGGGTAAGAAAAACAGTCACCCTAGCAGGGGTTGATCTTCTTTTGCACCATCAGTGCATTCCCAAAAATCCAGGGACAAATACAATCATCAGCATGGCACTTGTTGGAATGTAAGCAGTAATTTTGAACCAAGCTTTGTGTGGTAGGTTCAGAGTTCATATTTATTGGGTTGTTGAACTCTGCTCTCTATTTCGAGTGACAGCAGTGATAATGCCCCCACAAAAGTAAGTGAGATAGCTACTAGTGTCATATTGCTGACAGTAAGCTGATATAATGCTACACAAAAAACTTTGTGTTGATACCCAAGAGGGCAAAAGTTAGCCAACCTATCTATATCTTAGTAGGTTCTGTCCTACCATTGAAACTCAACATTCAAAAAACTACGATCATGGTATCCAGTCCCATCAGTTCCTGGCAATTAGAAGGGGAAAAAGTGGAAGCAATAACAGATTTTATTTTCTTAGGCTCCAAAATCAGTATGGATGGTGACTGCAGTGAAATTAAAAGACACTTGCTCCTTGGAAAGAAAGTTATGCCAAACCTAGATAGCGTATTAAACAAAAGTCTGTATAGTCAAAACTATGGTTTTTCCAATAGTCATGTACGGATACAAGAGTTAGACCATAAAGAAGGCTGAATGCAAAGAATTGCTGCTTTTGAATTGTGGTCCTGGAGAAGACTCTTGAGAGTCCCTTGGACTGCAAGGAGATCATACTAGTCAACACTAAATAAATCCTGAGTATTCATTGGAAAGATTGATGCTGAAGCTGAAGCTCCCAATACCTGATGCAGGGAGCTAACTCATTGGAAGAGACCCTGATGCTGGGAAAGACTGAAGGCAAAAGGAGAAGAGAGCAGGAGAGGATGATACGGTTCAATAGGATCACCAACTCAACGGACATGAATTTGAGCAAACTCTGGGAGATAGTGGAGGACCAAGGAGCCTGGTGTGCTACAGTCCCTGGGGTCACAAAGAGCTGGACACAGCTTAGCGACTGAACAGCAATAGCATTGCTAACATTTCCCATCTTACTGTACATTGAGTTCATATCTGTACACGTGAGGCAAGAATCTATTCTAAGCCTGTCTTAGCAGGGTTTGGGGTTTTACTTTACAGCTGGTATATGCAGCAATGTGAATGGAGGCTCACCCTGGGGATAAATTCTGAAGGACAACTTTGAGTCTGCATCACTATTATGAGGTTTAGACCATTACTAATGATTGTGAGGAAAGATGATTGCCATTACAACTTAGTAAGAGAAAGAGCTTCCTATTTTCAGAGCTTTCTTGAAAGAAATTCAGTTTTTTGAGGTATTTTTAAAATATGCCTTATTTTGTAGTAGATAGGGGTGGAAGAGAAAAGGAACTAATCTTCTAGTAACTGCAATGAATGCTTGCTAACTTGAGCAATTTCCTATCATCATTGTACCTAGTTAGGTGTTTTCATCTTTAAATGAAAGTAAACATAAGGACCTCCCCTGAACCTATGGTTCCTAGAACCAGTTGCACAGCTGAACACCTAGAAAGTTAGTCCTTATTGTTTGATATACAATTCCCAATCACCAATCTGGTTTTTAAAACTCTAAAGTACTTCTGCAGATTTTTTAAATGCTTTGTATTTGTACACTTATGGTCACAGCAGCATTATACACCATAGTTGAAACAAGGAAGCAACCCAGCTGTCCCTGAATAGATGATTGGGTCATATACAAAATATACTCATGACACATATACAAAATGTGTCATATACATGCAATGGAATATTATTCAGCCTTTAATAGGAAGGAAATTCTCACACATGCTATAACATGGATGAACCTTGAGGAATAAATGGAATAAACCAGTCACCAAAAGACAAGTGCACTGTGGTTCCACTTAGGTGAGGTACACAGAGTAGTGAAAATCACAGACAGAAAGCAGAATGGTGGTTGCCAGGGGCTATTTGCGGGGGTGCGGGTAGTGGAGATGGCTAGAGAGTGTCAGTTTTGCAAGATGATAAAGAGTTGTGGAGATGGATGGGGCTAATGGTTGCATACCAGGTGAATGTACATAATACCATCAAATAGTACACTTAAAAACGGTGAAGATAGTAATGTTCATATTATGTGTATTTTACTACAAAGATAGAAAAGTTTCATAATATGCTTAGAGAATAACGCCTAAGGGTTACTCTAAGATGCTAAAGAAATTGTTGACATTAAATACCAGAGTGAACTAAATAGGGTTAATCAAGGAAAGAATCAATGTAATTACTCACTGGAAACATTTCAAAATTTTGGAGAAGCATTGATCATTTGTAACAAGAGTTGATAGCTTATTCATGGCAAGCCGAAAATGGAATATTCCAAGTTGAGTGTTTTTTTTTTTATATATAGTACCAGAATATTTCTCCTATTCCTTGAAAATGTCTCAATTTCCTGGAAAATACTCATCATTACTTTCTTGTCTGTCCTCTTCCCCACCCTTTCACAAAAACTGTGACTTATGGCACATTCCTACTTCATGCATCAGTGTTCCAAGAAATTTTCACATGTGAGTTAAAATGTAATCATAAACACTTGGCTTTTTAAGAGGTAGTTTTATTAGGGCTACAAATTCCTTTACCATCAAATGCCCAAGTTTGATGATGTTCGTGTGCATGATACATTTGAGTGATCACAGTCAGTGTAATTGGGAAGAGGCTTAGGGAGTATAAGGCTAGTACCTCTAATTTAGTGATGAATCATCCACAAACTTTATTTTGGTAATATATTTTCTGGAAAATGGTGTCATTGATGGTGATAATGTTGTGTTAAGAGCCCAGTATGTTGTGTCATGAGCCACCATGTTAAGACATGAAAAGCAAATGTTTGACCTGTCTCTACTGGTAGTTGTCAGCCAGGTATAGCATTTAGGGAGTTGATAGGATGACACTTGTTCTGGGCAGGCTGCAAACCCAGAAGTCTCCCAACTGCTTTTTTTTTTTTGTGAGTTGGCCTGATCAGTTTGAGCTCCATGTAAATGTTCTAGAGCCATGGGTTCAGCTCATGCAGGAAGAGATGGGTTCAAGGACCTGTACTCTGGGGCCATGAAGTTAAAAGACACTTGCTACTTGGAAGGAAAACTGTAACAAACCTAGACAGTACATTGAAAAGCAGAGACATCACTTTGCCAAAAAATGTCCATGTAGTCAAAGTTATGGTCTTTCTAGTAGACATGTACAGATGTGAGAGTTGGACCACAAAGAGGGCTGAGAACTGAAGAGTTGATGCTTTCAAACTGTGATGTTGGAGACGACTTTGAGAGTCCCTTGGACTGCACAGAGATCAAACTAGTCAATCCTAAAGGATATCAACCCTGAATATTCATTGCAAGGACTATTGCTAAAGCTCCAGTATTTTGACCACCTGATGCAAACAGCTGACTCTTTGGCAAAGACCCTGATGCTAGGAAAGATTGAGGGCAGGAGGAGAAGGGGACTACAGAGGATGAGATGGTTGGATGGCCTCACTTGATTCAATGGACATTAGTTTGAGCAAATTCCTGGAGATAGTGGAGGACAGAGGAGACTGGCGTGCTGCAGTCCATGGGGTCTTAAAGAATCAGACACCACTTAGCTATTGAACAATGACAGCTCTAGGGCCATCTTGAAAGAATGTCTTTTTTTTTTTTTTTTTTTTGGAAGATGGACCTGATACAGAGTGGATAACTTTTCTTTCCAAATCAACCATTAGAAAAAGTAAACATCTTACAGTTGATGATTGGCTGGCTGGTTTCACTTTGGATTAGGAGAGCATTAGATATCTGATATTTTGCAAATTGTGAGCTAAGATTCTAGGGCTGAGCCTGATTAAATCACATCTCTCTGTTGTCTCATTAAATTAAGGCCTCTTGACTTTTTCTTCATAAACAACTACCACCCAGAGGAATGAAGGGCTCAGTATACCAAGAAGTTGATGGGAGAAACAAAAGGCTTTTATTTTTTTAATAGAATTGTGTAAAAATTATCTGAAGAAAACAGTGATATTTCTTACTTCCAGAAAGGTATTCATAGTTAAGCAACTTATATCCACATGCTAGGTAAATAAGAATATTCACATTTGAACCACTAGATTAGAGTTAGCTGCAGATAGAAATCCTACAATAATAGTGCCATAAATACAGAGGGAATTCCAGAAAAACATCTACTTCTGCTTTATTGACTACGCCAAAGCCTTTGACTGAATTACAACAAACTGGAAAACTCTTAAAGAGATGGGAATACCAGACCACCTTACCTACCTCCTGAGAAATCTGTATGCAGGTCAAGAAGCAACAGTTAGAACCAGACATGAAACAACAGAGTGGTTCCAAACAGGGAAAGGAGTACGTCAAGGCTGTATATTGTCACCCTGCTTATTAAACTTATATGCAAAGTATTTCATGAGAAATTCCAGGCTGGATGAAGCACAACCTGGAATCAAGATTGCTGGGAGAAATATCAATAACCTCAGATATGCAGATGACACCACCCTTATGGCAGAAAGCAAAAAAGAACTAAAGAGCCTCTTGACGAAAGTGAAAGAAGCGGGTGAAAAAGCTGGCTTAAGACTCAATATTCAGAATACTAAGATCATGGCATCTGATCCCATCATGTCATGGCAAATAGATGGGAAAACAAATAGAAATAGTGAGACACTCTATTTTTGGGGCGCTCCAAAATCACTGCAAATGGTGACTGCAGCCATGAAATTAAAAGACACTTGTTCCTTGGAAGAAAAGCTATGACCAACCTAGATAGCATACTAAAAAGCAGAGATATTACTTTGCCAATAAAAGTCTGTCTAGTCGTAGCCATGGTTTTTCCAGTAGTCGTGTATGGATGTGAGAGTTGGAGTATAAAGAAAGCTGAGCACTGAAGAACTGATGCTTTTGAATTGTGGTGTCAGAGAAGACTCTTGAGAGTCCCTTGGACTGTAAGGAGATCAAACCTGTCAATCCTAAAGGAAATCAGTCCTGAATATTCATCAGAAGGACTGATGCTGAAGCTGAAACTCCAATACTTTGACCACCTGATGCAAAGAACTAACTCATTGAAAAAGACCCTGATGCTGGGAAAGATTGAAGGCAGGAGGAGAAGGGGACAACAGAGAATGAGATGCTTGGATGTCATCACCGACTCAATGGACATGAGTTTGCGCAAGTTCCAGGAGTTGGTGATGGACAGGGAAGCCTGGTGTGTTGCAATCCATGGGGTTACAAAGAGTCAGACATGACTGAGCAACTGAACTGAATGAACTGAAAATGCAAAGGATGTAGTCTCATTAAGCTTAAGTGCCCTGTAAGATCTGGATTTTCTACGAAAGCAAAGGAAATTGATATCGCAAGATGGGCGATATCATAGTCTTGACCACAACTTCCAAAACATTTTGCTCTCAAAATGACGTTTCTTCAAAATAAACCTCCTCCCAATGGGTGAGTTTTTCATGCTCTTGACTTTGGGCCAAAAATCAACAGCCTTGGATTCTTTTGTTACCCTAACTTCTGAAATCTCTGACCATTTATTTAAGATCTCTCTGGGTGAGTTACCTTGACTCTGCTCTCCATAGTAGGTGGGGAAAAAAGTAACATTTACCAAAGAACTATGGACTCATAGGTGTGAAGAAGCACTCATAAATTCAATAAATAATAGTTTTAAAGACAGGATCATGTCAGAGCCTGCTTAAAAGTCCCCTGATCCAATTTACTTAAGAAATTATCCTCTTTGCTTGTGTTTTGCTACCTTCCACTTAGAGTAAGTCCATCTTCTGTCAATTGTTAAATTATAGTTATTAACTCCTAATAATTCTATATCATTGCAACTCTCTCTTTATAGGGAAAACAGATGGAGAAAAACCAAAAGTCGCTCAGAAAGGTGGGTTAGATTTTGTTATCAAAACATTCTTATGGGAGTTTTTAAAAAGGTTTCTTTGAACTTTAATCTTTGTGATGAATTAACATTCTTTCCTGGATTGTAATCAACGGGAGCAGAAAACCTTTTGAAAATGTTTCAAATCTCTTAAGAGAGAAAAGGGAATTGCCTGTGTATGAAAATAAGCAAACCACAAGTGAGTCTTCACAACAGCTGTGGAGAATGGTGTCATATCACAATTTATGGTTCCTAAGGATGGAAATTGGGGCTAATTCAATAGCTATGTGTACACTAAAGCTACTCAGTAGTTAACAGTGAAGCCATCTAGTCAGAATGGTATGCTTCTTGATATATCTTGAGATCCAGAAATCTTTCTGTGATTAGAATAACCCCAGCTCTTTTCCCCTTCTAAGTCACCTCCTACTAGATAGAGGACAAACAACATAGAGCATCATTTGTTATCTACAGTGGGCCTGTGACATTGCTTATTGCTGCTGTATTGTTCATCTGGGGACTCTGCTTTTTTTTTTTTTCCTGTCTCATTCAGGTGGCTTGTCAATGGGGACCCTGGTTGCAATCATTGTTGGCGTCTTACTAGGCATCGCAATCATTGGTGTAATCATCCGTGTGATTTATCGGAAAATGTCGGGAAGATACTCGTAAGTATAAACCTTAGGCTCTTGAGATACGTAAATGAAGAGGGTGGTTTCCAACCTTTGAACTAATAGACACTCTAAATAAAGATCATGTGCAGAAGCCACCAACCTCCCTAAGCACTGCATCTGAAGTGTCCCCTTGTAAGTTTCCAAGAGAACACCCCAGATGGTTCTTCAGTTGATTTCCATTGCGATCTGACCCAATTTGACCTCTTAATTTTCCGACTCAGTGAACTTGAAGGAAAACCCAAACCAAGTTTTAATGATACACAATCACCCTACTACCAGTCCTCAGAGGTAGGTGGTTCTCAGAAGAACATTAGTGGCAGAGCGAGGACCCTATTCTGATAAGGATTCCACTGGTGCAGGGGCCCCTCCCTCCACGCCTGTCCTGCATGCACCCACACACCCAGGAAAAGGAATTATTTCTCCATTAAAATTTCCTAGGAATTCAGAACATTTCAAATTCATAGCCAGAGGAAAACATTTTCTTATTTCTGTTGGGGAGATAATATATGATTGAATGGGAAGAGGATAAATGTTGTTATATGACTGGGGGCATCAAGGGACACAAGCAGCAATACAGTTGCAGATTTATGTATCTGGAAATGCCTGGGAGCCTGACCCTAAGTCAGGCCTGAATGTGATCCTGAGAATCAGGCCTGGAGGAGGGATGAGTAGGGAGATAAGAGCCCCAGGACCTAGTAGTCACAATGCCAGTAAAAGAAGTGACAGTCACCTTTCTCCTTGTCTTCACAGGCCCTAAAGTGCTAAAGAATTGTGCTGTCCTGCCAATACATTTTTTAAAAAGAGAGCTTCCAACATCCCCTCCTCCCCCGTCCCTGAGCACATGGAGAAGATGACCCGTGGAATTGCTTCACCACCACACTCAAAATCCACGGTGATCCCTCCACTCGCTAAAACTAACTGAAGGAAAGAGTATTCATAAGACGTGCTCCTCTAAGCCTTTGTCTTTTGAAAAAAAATATTGTTTTAATATAAATTTTGTGTGTGATTTAAAAGGCAAAATGCATAGAAAATGGAGCAAAGCTGTGTTAAACCTGATTTGTAACTAAATAGACAATAGATTGGGTTGGCCAAAAAATTTGTTAAGGTTTTTACCGTAAGATCTTACAGAAAAATCTGAACAAACTTTATGACCAACACAATCATTCAGCAGATGTCAGAAGCTGTAATTGTCTTTGTTTTTGTCTTTGTAATTAGTCTTTGTTTTGACTATCCTCTGTTATTGTTAAAATGCAAAGGAATCTGAAAATATTTATACCAATGGTGTCCCTGGGTATAGAGCTATGTCAGTCAGTGGCATAAGTGCTCTTCAGTTTCTGATCTGTTAAAGCATACACATTCCAGTCCAGTGGGGTCCATTTTTAGAGCCTGATTTGGTATGGATAATGAAGTAGAAAATTTATACTTGTGTAATATGTAATTAGCAACTGGCTTTCACTGGTCCAGGTAAGGCATTTCAAAGACACCTATTTTAGATCACAAATAGAAGTCTTAACTTTGGGGAAGGTGTTTTGTTTCTCACACCAAGGGTCTTGGTGTACTCTGCTGTCTTCTCCGTCGATGACTTGATGAATCAAAGGTTTGTTTGTACACAAGTATAAATTTTTTACTTCCATTTTCCTCAGATGATAGAGATCCAGACCTGACGGGGTGACCTTCTCGCTTCCCCATCTCCCAAGTCCTCCATATTGGCTTCTTTGTTCTGGAATATGAGGACCTCAGCCCTGGATGCAAAAAAAGGCTGTTGGAGGCCCAGTGATGCCAGAGGCTCAGGTGTTCCAGGAACTGAGAGCCGCAGTGGTCCCCAAACCCTGTGTGTGCTTGTGACAGACAAAACCTGTCAGCTTCCTAGCATTTACTTTCTGCTTCAGAGGAAAGAAATGGGAATACTAATTTTTAAAAAGCACCTGGATTTAGAGACTTTATCTTAAAATGGAAGCTGTTTCTGGTTTTCACAAGATCCCCCATATTTCAGTGGGGTCATGATTGACAATTCTGTATTGGCACCATCCAGCTCAGGACATTTCTCCCTGTAGGCCAACTAAATTCTTTCCCCTACACAAAAAGGTTTTACGCTGAGCAGATGCTGTGTCACAGTTGTGGTTATACATTTCTGATAGCCTCTGAATTCATCAGGTTCATAAAACAGGAAAAAGTAGACTATCAGTCAGAAAGCTTGGCCTGTTCCCCTACCTTTTGCAGTAATGGATGGATGTAATTTTAAACAGTATGCCCTTGTGTCACTCAAGTCCAGCTAGTCCAAAATCCCAGGTTCAATATTTGAACATCGACTGATGGAGAAAACGGGCTTTGGAAATGCTTTATGAATCTCTTAACTACCCTTCCATTTCATCACTCAGATTCCTGAACAGGAGTTGGGAATAATGTTAATTTCCTCTTTCTTATTCTTTTTTTTTTTTTTTCTTACTGTGAAAAATAATAGTCAAGCCCAAGTCATACACTGGACCCATCACCTGCTGGGACAGGGCTGTGGGTTTCCTGGTCACATCTGTGTTGTGCTCAATGCAGTGTAGACATGTTTTAAAATAAAACAGATGATTGAGTATATAACAGTGAGTCAGATCTGTGATTGGGAATCTCCATCAAGGTTGGATCACCCCTGAGTACATCTCCAGATAAGATTACACATTACATAAACATCTGCCTCTTGATTTGATTGGGAGTGAATTATAAATGATCATAGGAGGTACATCCATGGGGAAGAAATGTTAACTGGACCTTTCACCCAGGACTCTGCCAAAGTAGGGAAGTTAAGGTCAAGTGGAGGAATGGGAGGAAAAGTGGCACTTTGGGATTAGTTTTGTTCACTCTGGTCACAAAAGGTTAACAAGGTTTTGCCTGGCTCCTGATTTCTCTACCCTGGAGACTGGAGCCAGGAAAGGGGGGAACAGTTATACCTTGCTCCTGCCAGCCTACCTAGGAACTTGACCTCAGGTGGGTAGGGCTTGACCACATAAGAAAAGGTGGTAATAACCCTTGTGAAGGTTTTCTAACCGCCTATGGCCTGGGATGCACATCGCTGCAGAATTCCTGTTCCTGGGACATCTCACTGCTCCTTGACCCTCGGTGCAAGCACTCTGCAGAGTCTAGAGACTGGAGTGGCCAGGCCCTCTGTTCCTCTGTCAGTCTACTACTCCGCACCCCACGCACATCACCCCATATGGGACTCTAATGCCACACCCTGTGTCTCTCCCCTCCAGCCCTATCTATTCATAAAGGTTGGATTTAGCATCATACCTTCCTCATAATACTCAGTTTTTGTTAAGGCAGGGTTGTTGAATTTGCCAGATGTCTGGAATCCTGAGTTCCTGTTTCTAAGTGGTGAAACTAACAGGAGAGGACTTGAAACTATTCGTTTTCTAGCAGAAAACTAACCACATCCACCTAGTCCCACAGACTCCCAGGCCATCCGCTATGTCAAGTGTCATTTATACACGCCACCCACGGGAGACTATTGGGACCAAACAGACTGCCAAGAGCACTGGAACTTTAAGAAAGCAACTCCATCCTCTCTTCTCTTAGAGATGCCTGGGGACCAAGCAGTGCTGAAGTTAACTGTTTGTGAGATAGCAAAGCATCGTTTGGTTTCCCTGGTGGCTCAGATGGTAAAGAATCTGCCTGCAATGCAGGATACCAGGGTTCGATCTCTGGGTCAGGAAGATCCCCTGGATCTTCTCCCCTGGAGAAAGGAATGGCTACCCACTCCAGTATTCTTGCCTGGAGAATTCCACAGACAGAAGAACTTGGCAGGCTATAGTCTATGGGGTTGTAAGAGTCGGACACGACTTGGCAACTAACACACACACACGAAGCATCGTCTTAACCCTTTTTTTTTTCTTTCAACCTGGGAGAACCAGGTTGAAACCAAAAAATAAGACTTAGTTCTGCTTTAATGAACAAAGAATGAGTAACTTAATCTCTTACTCTTTCCATCTTTAATTTAATTTATATTGATTTAGTATCCAGGGTTGCTCCTGACAAATGCTTTGATGGGGCATAATGCATATTCTGACATAAAAACTTTGTTTGCTGATCTGAAGTCCAGTGGAAGTAGAATTTCTCTGACATAGAGCTGAATCTTAGCACATACAATTGGAGCACACAGTTATCTACCTGTGAGCATCAGAGAACTTGGCATTCCCTGAAAGCAAGCATTTCTCTTTGCTTTTCCCCAAAGCTTGAAGCTAGGTTAGATATAAATATACCTTGTGACATGATTACCACAATCAAGCTAATTAACATGTCTATCACCTCACATGTTACTTTTTTGTGCACATGGCAAGAACATTCACTGTCTTAGTAAATTCAAGTATACAATGCAGTATTATTAACTATGGGCTTCCCAGGTGGCACAGTGGTAAAGAATCCACCTGCTGATGCAGGCAACCCAAGAGACATGGATTCCATCCCTGGGTTAGGAAGATCCTCTGAAGTAGGAAATGGCAACCCACTCCAGTATTGCCTGGAGAATTTCATAGACAGGAGCTTGGCAAGCTACAGTCCCTGACATTAACTATAGTCACCATAGTGCACATTTGATCTTAAGAATTTATTCATCTTGCATAACTGAAACTTTGTACCCTTTGACCAGCATCTTATATCAAAACATGTTGTACACCTTAAATGTATACAATTTTTACTTCTTAATTATACTTCAATAACGTTGAGGGGAAAAGCCAGGTTAGGATGTATAGTAGATCCATGGGCTTTTAATTTAATAAATGCATAGGATGTAACCACAGTTCATGAGCAATATGCAGGATAAATGTAAAATCTCTTGGAGGAGAAGAATAAGGCTGGTGTAAGGAATGTGAGATTTTGGCCCATTGGCCCAGCACATGTGATTCAGGCAAAATGCCAGCCTGGCTTCACCAATCATTAATCCTCAGCACTTTTCACCCTGGGGGTCATATTATCAGACACAGGCGCAAAGCACCCAATGTTTTTTCTGTACCCAGATGCTGTAGGCCACCACAGAGTCCCATGCATTTTCCTGAAACCTTGTTCCTCCCATGTTCTTTCCTACTCCTTTCCCTATTACTGCCTTTAGTTTTCCACAGATGGCAGGGGATTGAGAAAACAGTTCCTGCCAGTCACAAGGGGAATGTTCCTAAAGGGATGGTGACCCTCCAGATGCTACCTGAGAGGTTGTCTCAAATAAGTGCTTGAATACAACCTAAACCACAACAGTGCCCTGTGGGTAAACTCAGGAAGGCAAAAGATGTTCCGAGTGAAGGGAAAGCTTGAGCCTTCCTTTTCCTTCCTTTCCCAGCCTTCCACAGAGCATCTGGGCATGAGACTGGGGCTGTGGATGGTACAGGGCTGGTTGGGCAGGGATTGTGGGGTGTGGATGTTTGCCCAGCAAGACCCAGGGACAAAGGACACTGGCGGGCTAATAGGGTGTTTGGGGCTGCTGGAGAGATACACCCTTTTGGGACAGAAATAATCTCATTCCTTCATTCAATGAACATATACTGTCAGACCCTGCTCTGGGTCCTGGGGATACATAGTGAGTAAAATCAACAAAAATCCCAACTTGCTGGAACTTTCACTCTAGCATGGGAGACAGTTACCAAAATAAACAGATAAATCATAGTGTGTGTAGGAAATTAGGGGGTGGAAGAGGCAATGGAGAAAAGCAGCAGGGGAAGGGAAGAGGAAGAGCAGGGCAGAGGGACCACAGCGTTGCTTTGGTTAGGCAAGGAAGACCTCACTGGGGTTTGAGCAAAGCCCTAGAAGAGGCAAGAGAGGGATGCCAAGTGGGCATCTGAAGGAAAACATTCTAGGTAAAAAGGAAGCATCAAAGGCCCAAGGTAGGAGCATGTTTGGGGTGTGGTGGGGAAGCAGAGTAGCTCAGAATGATGGAGCAGAGTGAGCGGGGAGGAGAATGGTAGGAGATGAGGTTGGAGAGGTGGTGGGGCCCATCTAAACAGAAGCCATTGGAAGGTCCCGAGCAGAGGAGTGGCATAATCTGACACTCATAATCAAGACACTCACTCTTATTTCTGGTTGGGAACTGGCCAGATAAAAAGCCAGTGTGATCATCCAAGCAAGAGCTGATACTGTCTTACCAGCTTCCCTGGTGGTCCACCGGTTAAGAATCTGACTTGCAGTTTGGGGGACGTGGGTTCAATCCTTGGTCAGGGAACTAAGATACTACATGCTGCAAAGAAACTAAACCGGCATGCCTTAACTAGAGAGGCCCTGCACCACAATGAAAGATCCCGCTTGACCCAATGAAGTTCCCGAGTGTCACAACTAAGACTCAGTGCAACCAAATAAATTTTGTTTTGTTTTGTTTTGTTTTCCATTTATTTTTATTAGTTGGAGGCTAATTACTTTACAATATTGTAGTGGTTTTTGTCATACATTGACATGAATCAGCCATGGATTTACATGTTGAATTCATTTGAATCAGTTCTAATGAGATGGATGAAACTGGAGCCCACTATACTGAGTGAAGTAAGCCAGAAAGATAAAGACCAATACAGTATACTAACGCATATATATGGAATTTAGAATTTTTTTTTTTTAAATGATGGTGGCTCAGACCCGGATGATGGCAGTGGAGGTGTCTTGAGATTGTCTGGTCTGGTTATATTTTGAAGAAAGTCTGCAGGATTATCTGATGCACCAGACATGGGATATGAGAACAACAGAGAACTCAAGACAACTCCAATGATTTTGACCTTAGCCATTGGAAAATGGAACTGCCATCACTCACCAGGGAAGGCTGTAGATGCAGAAGGTTTGGGAGAGACAAGCAGTTCTGTGTTGAACATGCAGAATTTGAGATGTCTGTTAGAGATCCAAGTGAGGGTATCTCAAGCAGCCACTTAGCTGTATGAGTCTGGAGCTTAAGCTAGAAATCTGGCTGGAGACATAATTTGGGAGTCATTAATACGTGATGTCAGTGATACTGATGAGATCACCAAGAGCATCAATGGGAAAAGACAAGTCCAAGATCAGAGCATTAGTGGACTCCAAGATTTAGAGGTCAGGGGTAGGCAGACACGTTACCAGAGGAGTCTTCTATCATTGCCTGGATGACATAACACCTCATGCATGCCTATGTGTATGCTAAGTCACTTCAGTTGTGTCTGACTTTTTATGACCCTGTGGACTGTAGCCCACCAGGCTCCTCTGTCCATGGGATTCTCCAGGCAAGAATACTGGAGTGGGTTGTCATGCCCTCCTCCAGGGGGATCTTCCTGACCAAGGGGTCGAACCCGTATCTCGTTATGTCTCCTTGCATTGGCAAGCTGGTTCTTTTTTTTTTTTTCTTTTTTTTTTTTCCATTTATTTTTATTAGTTGGAGGCTAATTACTATACAACATTGCAGTGGTTTTTGTCATACATTGAAATGAATTAGCCATGGATTTACATGTGTTCCCCATCCCGGTCCCCCCTCCCACCTCCCTCTCCTCCCCATCCCTCTGGGTCTTCCCAGTAAACAGGTAATAGTTATAATAACAATGATAATATTCACTAAAACTGAACACGTAGTGTATTTAGTCTTTGTGCAGACAGTTGGTATTTAATCCTCAGCAAACCTACTAACTAGTTACTGCTATCATTTTTGTATTTATTTTATATATTAGGAAATAGAAGCATGGAGAAGTTAAAAATTCTGTCCAAGACCAAGCAGCTAATAAAGAGCAAGGCCAAGTTAGGTCTCGGGTTATTCTTATTTAAATACTTTCCCCCCAAATTCTTAACCTAAACCCAACATTGTTGTGTTATGATAAATAATGTTGAACTAGTAATCTCCTTTTGAAATGATCATAATAACTCTACTTAATACCACTTCAGAGACAAGCTTTATTGAAAAATGATGAACATTGGGGTGCACGTGTCTCTTTCAGATCTGGTTTCCTCAGTGTGTATGCCCAGAAGTGGGATTGCTGGGTCATATGGCAGTTCTATTTCTAGGCAAGCTGGTTCTTTACACTAGTGCCACCTGGGAAGCCCTGACATACACCTCAGGATTAGCTATTTTCCTTTCTTCTCATTTATACCATTGAACAACCTCTGATGAGTAATTCAGTTTTCCAAGCAGCTTAATGCTGGGATGGGGTGCACTCGATAATGGACACAAATACACCCAACACCGAAAAAGAATCTCAATCATTGAAAATTACCAACCTGGCATGTGGGGTTATAAATCAGTTTTTATGAATCTGATTGGCATGACTTAAGCATTAAGATCATCTCCATTCTTATGCAATTAAGATTTCAGGATCATAAATCTGAGGACCAGATCCTTTGAGAATGATATCCACATCAAGTTACCAGTGCTATGAAGGCATCTAATTCTCTTTTTTAAATTAATTTTTATTGGCATAGAGTTGCTTTACACTGCTGTGACAGTGTCAGCTATACAGAGAAGTGAATCAGCTATACCTATACATCTATCTTCTCTATTTTGGATTTCCTTCCCATTTAGGTCACACAGGGCATTGAATAGAGTTCCCTGAGCTAATACAGTAAGTTCTCATTATTATCTGTTTTAAATATGCGTGTGTGCTCAATCGTGTTGGACTCGTTGCAACTCCATGGACTGTAGCCCATCAGGCTCCTCTGTCCATGGGATTTCCCAGGAAAGAATCCTGGAGTGGGTTGCCATTTCCTACTCCAGGGGATATTCCCAACCCAGGGATCAAACTCGTGTCTCTTGCATTGGCAGGCAGATTCTTGTATACATCCCAATCCCAATCTCCCAATTCATTCCACTCAGGCATCCAATTCTCCTCCTTACACAGCACTTCTGTTGTAAGTCTTAACTGTAATGGTGCCTCCATAACCTCCCACAATCTAGTTTCCACCCACCTCATTGACTTGCTCTGACCCAGCTTCCACCATTTGTCAATGCCGGCAGCCTCTGCTTGGTCTTGTCCTAAGCAACAAGCCCCAGCAGTCAGCCCTGTGGACCTCCTTCTTGCTCTTGGCTTGCCCACCATGTTACCAAGCCAGTTGCCCCCCTGGCCCTCTGCTTACTACTCCACTGATTCTTTTCTTATCTTTGTTTCACCCTCTTCCTCACAGGCATATCTAAGCCTCACTATTTGCTTCTCCCTTGGAAAGATTATCTACTCTCACAGCTCCAATGACCAGAAACTCCAGGAGGGCAGGAGTTTGTTAGCTTCTCTGCTACGTCTTTGGACCCTGGAGCAGTGCCTTGCACATAGCAAGTGAACAATTCTGTCACCCTGTATGTACACACCGCCACACTTGAGTGTACACACTCAAGAACCTTATCATTATTGCAAAGTTAAACATCTGCTTTCCATCTCTCCCTGCTCTTACCTGATCTGTATTCCATGAGTGGGACCTTCCCAAGGCATCTTTTTACACATTTAACCACCACATTCTAAGATCTGTCCCAGTGGCTTCCCACAAAATAACTTGACATTCATAGCTTCTACATGATTTCAGGGGGCCGCTATCACACTTGTACAGCCACTTTTGTGAAACGGAAAGAGCTTGAATTTAGACCCAGATTCTGGTGGCTTTGGTTCCAGGCTCTCCCATTTCCACCATGGAGGAAATGCATTAACACTTTTATGTTTCTAGGCTCTTTTGATTGCAAGAGACTCACCCAGGTGTCTTCATGCATTGCTTCATATTCCATGGCTTCTTGTGAAAACAAGGGTGAAAAACCCTATGGGAACCCCCAAGCAGTAGCAAAGCACAACCACAAGGAAGTGAGAGTGTTCTCAACAGTGCTGGGTTCTGAATTATCTTGACACTTCCATCACTGCACTGGACAGTTTTCATTTGCTCCGAGTCTATTCTCCTTCTTTCCTCACCTGGCTCTGTGACCAGGCAGGCCGACCTGAATGGACCAATTTTGCTCTCCAGGTTCTGGTTGGGTTTGACTAGTGGGAGGCACTGAGAAGTGGTTTGGGAAGCAAATAACCAAAAAAAAAAAAGACACAGGTTGGGGTATTTATTCCTCCAGCTCCTTCCTTGTCAAGTCAACATGTTACTGGTAGTTGTGTTTCTTTACCAAAAGTTACAGCTCCTGGGACTTGCCTGGTGGTCCACTGGTTAAGACTCCATGCTCTCCAATGCAGGGGATACAGGTTCAATCCCTGGTTGGAGAACCAAGATCCCATATGCCACATGGCATGGCCAAAAATTAAATAAATAAATAAATAAATAAATTTTCAAGTCACAGCTCCTATTGAATAAAGCTCTAGGTCTGCCCAGGTTCCAGTAACAAATCCTTCCTCTTGCCTAATTAGGACTGTGGGACTCCCATGGTTGTTAATCCCAGAAGCCTCATTGTTCCTTGTTGGTTTCCTTAACTCTGTGTCACCGTTGGTAAATTGTCCCTTTATCCAACTCTTCTTCATCCTTCTTTTGAGGGTACCATATGTTTCCAGCTGGGACCTTGACTGGTACAACCGCATGAGTGTTTGTCAACGTACAAATATGAGGGTGATTTAACCCCTCATTTTCCCTGTCACTACCAATCAGCAAACCAATTCTGTCTTCTGGGCATCTATTCTATGCTTCCTGGCTTCTGCTAATTTACAACTTGCACTGACTCACAACTCACGTGACACATGGTCCAGTGGTGTCCCCTTAAACACACCTGCCACCCCCCACTTTGGCATCCTGTCTCTGTGTGTTCTCTCAGCTTTGATTCCTGCCACTAATGGTTTGATTCACTCTCTATTTCCAAGACCTATAATGTCCAAAGAAATCTGCACAGCCTGGTTATTCACCATTATCTTGGTTGGTCAGAACTTCCTGTGCCAGGTCACAGGTGGGTCACAGACCACTGTAGGTCCTCCATCTCCTAGTCATTGCTTCTTCCTTGTTGGCAGAAGTTGGTTCTGGAAGAAAGAGCATGGGAAAACCATATGTTTCAGAGCTTGACTGTTTTTTATGTAAAAAATAATACTTATATCCTAGAGTTGTTATCAGCCTTAAAGGAAATAATAAATGTTTAGGGCCTGTCTGAAAACACAGCTACTGCTCAATCATGAGCAGCAATTATTCCAAAGATCACTTCTTACTTCTATTACTATAGCCTCATTCACTCTCACAACATCCCTATGAAGTAGGCAAGACAGAGGTTATCGCCATTTTACAGATGACAAAACTGAGGCTCAAACAGTTGCCTTAAATTATAGAGTTACAAAATGCCTGAAGCCTCATCAGTGAGCAGGTGTCTCTGGCCCTCCATTGTTTAAAGTAAAAGTAAAAGTTGCTCCATCATGTCTAACTCTTTGCAACCCCATGGACTATACAGTCCATGGAATTCTCCAGGCCAAAATACTGGAGTGGGTAGCCTTTCTCTTCTCCAGGGGATCTTCCCAATCCAGGAATCGAACTGGGGTCTCCTGTGTTGCAGGCAGATTCTTTACCAACTGAGCTATCAGGGAGCACATTTTAAAATCAATGCCTCATTCTGTATAATGGGCTCCAGATTCATCCATCTCATTAGAACTGATTCAAATGAATTCTTTTTAATGGCTGAGTAATATTCCATGCTGTATATATACCACAGCTTCCTCATCCATTCGTCTGCTGATGGGCATCTAGGTTGCTTCCATTACAGTATACTAACACATATATATGGAATTTAGAAAGATGGTAACGATAACCCTATATGCAAAACAGAAAAAGAGACTCAGATGTATAGAACAGACTTGTGGACTCTGTGGGAGAAGGCGAGGGTGGGATGTTTCAAGAGAACAGCATCGAAACATGTATATTATCTAGGGTGAAATGGATCACCAGCCCAGGCTGGATGCATGAGACAAGTGCTCGGGCGTGGTGCACTGGGAAGACCCAGAGGGATCGGGTGGAGAGGGAGGTGGGAGGGGGGACCGGGATGGGGAATACATGTAAATCCATGGCTAATTCATTTCAATGTATGACAAAAACCACTGCAATGTTGTAAAGTAATTAGCCTCCAACTAATAAAAATAAATGGAAAAATAAATAAATAAATAAAATCAATGCCTCTCTATCAGCTCTATACTATCAACTGTGGTATATTTTGAAAACACAGTTTCTCAGCCAGTAGAAAATACAGAACTTATTTCTTTTTAATTTGGAACTATTTTAAACATACAGAAAAATACAGAGATATACACATTTCCCATTGAAATATACCCAATTCAGGAGAATGGTCCCTCTGGGAAGAGAAGAAAGAAGAAACTGATGTCAGGAGGGTACTTGACAGATTTTTACTTCTCAAAAAAAAAATTATATAATAAATAGGAGAAAATGCTAGGGTTTGCTGAAGCTGAGTGTTAGGTATATGGGACTTTGTTATTACTCTCTGTATTTTTAGCAAACCTAGCATTTTCTCAGTGAATTAATTTGGGGGATATTTAAATATGCAGACTTGACTAAGAATTACTTGGCATCTTTCTTATAAATGTGATACTCATAGAAAGAAGGTCTAAATTAATTGGATTTAGTGGCCAATAACTTTACAATAATTCTTTGTCTCTACCCATCCATTTTCCTTCAAATGACCATTTGATTTTTTCCTATATGAAAATATTGGGAGGAAATACATTTATTATTTTCAAAATGATAGAAATATTTCACCTACATTTCATGAAACATTTTTTGAGCTAGTTAATTACTTCTAATAAAAATACAACAGTGAGATTCAGAGTCAGCATTTTTTCTAAGTACAAAGTGATATATCAGATGTTAGAAGAGCTTTTTTAACTTGCAGAAGAAAAAGAATTTAAAAATATGAAGTTGGCTCCTGAGAAAAATCCATCTGGTGATCCACAGTCCAAAATATTTATGAAGCAAATGTCAAAAATGAAAAGATTCCATAATAGACATTCTCTCTGAAATGAAAAAGAACTGCTATGCACACAAAAATTAAATTCAACATCTCCCTCTTTTAAACAAAAAGTAAGGAGTTCTTGATGTTGATTGAGAATTTCTCCACATATCATTTTATCAGGACCATTTTCAGAAAGTTGAGGCTTTCTTGGCTGTCCAATGGTTAAGACTTTGCCTTCCAGTGCAGGGAATGCAGGTTTAGTCACTGGTTGGGGACATAAGGTCCCACATGCCTCAGGGCCAGAAAATCAAAATGAGAGCAGAAGCACTATTGTAACAAATTCAATAAAAACTTTAAAAATGGTCTACATTAAAAAAAAATCTTAAAAAAAACATAATGCTTCAACCTCACCTGTAGTGGGTTCAACTGTGGCCCCCGAATGATATGCCCAAGCCCTGGACCTCAGTCCCTGTGTGGGTGACCTTACTTGGAAAAAGGGTCTTTGCAGACATAATTAAGTTAAAGCTCTATCTCAAGATGAGATCTTCCTGATTAACTGGATGGGCCTTAAATCCAGTAACAAGCATTCTTAGAAGAGGAAAACACAGACAGAAGGGGGAAAGCATAAGGGGGGGATAGGGAGATGGAGGCAGAGGTCAGAGTGATGCAGTCGCCAGCCTAGGAACACCAGGGACCCGCAGAAGCAGGAGGCTGGAAATCTCCCCTCGAGCCTCCAGAGTGAGATTCACCTGCAGACTCCTTCATTTGAGACTTGTGGCCTCCGAAATGGTGAGAAAAATATTTCTGTTGTTTTAAGCCACCCAGTCTGTGGTCATTTGTTACAGCTGCCCTAGGAAATATAATACATCCCCCCCACCATCCCTGCCCAGTAACCCGTCTGCAAGGGCAGCTCCCCTCTGCCCATCCAGCCCATCCCAGATGGAAAGTGACACACACCTCTTCCACTCTGACCTTGAGCCATTCCCTTGATTCTTCCAAACAATGGTTTGGCAGCCACCTCGCTTCCTCTGGGACAGACAGATGTTACTAAGCCTCCCCATACTGTCATTCCAATTTTGCACTCACATTGGAAGAATCCATGGTGAAAGAAATGTGACCTAAAACAATAGGCAAAGTCAACCCTTGCAGGATGAGTGGAACACAAAGGCAAGTCCAGCTGTAATCACCTCACCACCCTTTGTGGTGACTAACCCAGAAAGGCTTCAATGAAAATACAATCCCAAAGTCTATTGAGTGAGAATTCAACAAATATTCACCCCGTACCTCTTATGAGTCAGGCACTGCCATCGATGCTAACAAGGAGATGGAATTATTCTAATGCTCATCAAATGTGCCAATAGTAATAATCCTTTGGGTCTGGCGGCTAAAGGAGAAACTGGGGTCTGAGCAGCTCTCTTCAGTCACAGACCTCCAACTTACAATGGCAATGGTTTTCGCAAGTTGTTGTCAGACAGTGGACACACGGCTACACAATACAAGAGATGCTTGTGACAAAATTAAGAACTTCTCTGCGCCACTTACCTCCCTCCTCTTCATCTACTCCTCCCCCCACCCCAGGCTCCTAGTCGTGCTTCCATTTCCATAGGCCTGTCCTCAGTAGACTACTAACAGATCCACCTAAAAGGAAAGAAATAGATTAGAAAGAACCATCTTCAAGGTCAAGGATGGGAAAATCTGGGACTTCCCCAGCTGTCCAATGGTTAAGACTTGACCTTCCAATGCATGGGATTCGGGTTTGATCCCTGATCAGGGAGCTGAGATCCCATATCCCTAGTGGCCAAAAAACATAAAACAGAAACAATATTGTAACAAATTCATAAAGACTTTAAAAGTGGTTCACATTAAAAAAAAAAAAAAAAAACTTAAAAAAAAGAAAAGATGGAAAAACCAGACTTGCAGTTTACTCTGTAAAAATTAAAATAACACAGTTCACCCCAGCTCATAACACTGCATCTGAGGAAAATAGATAGTATGTATGGAAGTGTTTTATAAATTATAAAGCAATATAAAACAGTCAAAGGTGTTGTTATTTATTAGGCAACCGTCGCATCCAAGCACATGTTAGATTCTCTTACATGAATGCATCTGGTCCTTCCAATAACCATGAAATGTATCACTGTTGCCCTTTCTTAGGGTTTCTCTGCTGGCTCAGACAGTAAAGAATTGGCCTGCAATGCAGGAGACCTGGCTTCGATCCCTAGGTCAGGAAGATCCCCTGGAGAAGGGAATGGCTACCTACTCCAGTATTCTTGCCTAGAGAATTCCATAGACAGAGGAACCTCAGGGCTGCAGTCCATGATGTCATAGAGTTGGACACTACTGAGCAACTAACACTTTTTTAGGTGGGGAAGCCAAAAGTTGGAATGATTGAAATTACCCAAGGCCACACCATAGCAGGTGAAGGAGCTGCAGCCCCACATCCATGGCTTTTTCAGTACAGGGCTCCAGTATAAGGTATTATATCTACAGAAGCTCACTCAGATGAATTTTTATGTCTCATCTAGAAAAATAAATTGTTTTCAAAATCTAGGAATATCAAAGGAGTAACACTGATGGTGGAAATTCAGGCACTGGGACAGGGAGTAAGATGTGGAGCCCTATACCACGGTCATAGGTGTGGAGCCTTGAACCAAGGTCACAGGACAAAAATTTCTGAAATTAACACAGCCCCATAGCAACTGTTGCCATGAGCCTCCTGATCTAAACTGGCCAGTTCCCTGACCCCATGTTAGGTAAAATACCCACACTATTCATTACGCTATAGCATCCTAACCAATCACCTAATGCCACTCTTCTGGTAGGAATTTTCTCTCTCATGAGGTTATAAATTGGCTACTAGCCTGTAAAAGGGGTCTACTCTCCCTTGAGCCAGCCCACTCTTCTAACAGAGTCTTACGCGTTAATAAACTCTATTCTCTTCTCATTCCACTTCATGTCTCGAAATTTTTTTCTAACCCACGCAGGGACCATGACATGAGAGATCTTTTGAATGGAGACCCTGCAAGGGTGCCTGAAATCATGCCATGGAAACCACCACCTGCTGCCTGCACACACCTCCATGTTTATGTCACAGACCTGGGATCTGGCTTCCTAAAATCTTACTCTTTGGTGTAACCCAACCCATGAGGCACCCCTCCTGCTGAGGAAGGCCAAATCATTGCTACTGTGAGGTCTGCAGCCATGAAGCTATGGCAGGAGCACAGACTGATGGCCCTGCTGTCCACTCACACCCCACCCGGAGGGCCACCCAGAACTCAGGTGTGAGGCAAGTGGAGCTCTGGATGCCTTTGACATGACCCCATCCTCCAGGTAGTTCAGGTGGTGAAGAATCCACCTGCAATGCCGGAGACCTGGGCTCGATCCCTGTGTCAGGAAGACCCCCAGCGGAAGGGAATGCCAACCCACTCCAGTATTCTTACCTGAAGTATTCCATAGACAGAGGAGCCTGGCTGGCTATAATCCATGGGGTCGCAGAGAGTCAGACACGACTGAGAAACTAACAACATCCTCCAGGGAAGGACCTGACAGAGGAGTTGGGGGATAGAAGTGGGAGAGGGGAAAGGCAGAGAAGGAGGTTCTGGAAAGGAAATCTCACTTTCCTAGGTTTGGGCTCAAATTCCACACTTCAAAGCCCCATGTCCCAAATTACAATTCTCATACTTCCCACTCCAAGAGGCATGCCTGGAGCAAAATGCAAACTAATCAAGCTTCTTCATTGCCCCTGGCTGTACTAATATGGAGTCAAGGCTAGGACTTCCAGAGAGACTAGAGCCATTAAAAGCTTGATGTCCCAACTCCAGGGCTTAAGATCTGATTTGGAGAAGCAATTACAGGGTAAAGCAGTACTGGTTTGATAGTGTGGTCAAAACCTTTTGATCCATAGCAGTAAAAAATGTGAGTGCTCACTCCCAGTGTAGTATTAGATTCATTCACATGAAACTGTCATTTTTGTAGGATAAAAAAAAATTCAATACCGTTGTGTAACCCAATATATGTTTATAACTTGCATACATTGGGTTGGCCAAAAAGTTCATTCTGGTTTTTTTGTAAGATGTTAAAAAACCTGAATAAAACCTTTTGGCCAACCATGGACCTCCTCCAGATTTCATAACGAATATTAGAAAAGATTCATTTCTTTCTTTTTTGAAGAGATAGATTGAATAAAAAGAAGAGGTCTCAAACCTTCCCTTTGTATCCCAAACGATCTTGGTATGCCCCTCACCCTCCACCCCCGACTCTAGATCACTGCTGCAAACAAAGAGGTCTCACCCCAATCCCCAGAGGGACCTCCAAATATGATCATTTTAGCATGACATGCAAACCTTTAACCATCCTGCTGTCCCTCTCCCCTAGGGCCCATGTGCAAAGCACTACTGTCTATAGGCAGAAAGTTCTGGGCTCTCAGGTCAGACCACCCTCAGTGACCCAAAGCCTGAAAACAGTTCCCAGCTAATCCCAGCCTAGCCTGGGTCACCATCTCGATTTGGGGGAGAGATGGGGGAGGGTATGAAAGGCAGCCACGGTGAGCAACTAGGTGGAGGACACGAAACCCAGGGGGTCACCAGAAGAGCAATACAGGTCTGAGTCACTGCCTGTTCAGCCCTCCAGCCCTGGCCTGAGTCCACTCAGTAAACAAGGCAGCATCACACCAGCTATGGGCCTCTTTGTCTGCATCTGTAGATTTAGGCATCAGACCAAACCCACAGACTCCTCCCAGTAACAAACAGTTGGGTGAACATACAAATATCTTCATTCAATTCTTTGCTTGTTAATTTCTCTGAGTTGAGGAGCACAGCACTTAAAAGCCCTGTGCAAGTCAATTCTGAGCCCGTTTTAACAGGCTAGGCCCTTTTTATTTTCATATAGTTTTGGGTGTAATATCCAGCATGCAGGGGGTTCATACCCATCTCCTGGTCTGGAGGATCTCAGACCTGGTAACTGAGTGTCCTGGACACGGAGTAGGAAGGAGCATGGGAGAGGGGAGCTGGTGATTGTTATTTAATCGGGAAGGGGGGTGGTCTGCAGTATTCAGCAAAGAGGTAACACATTTAGAATCAACCCCTGTGATTCTTGAATCCAGAGTATCTCATCCACTTCAGTGGGTCCATCAGACACCTTGAGAGAGGCCATGGAAACCAAAGATCTTCTGGAAAGAAGGCCCCAACATCCTTTGAGACTTCCAGGATCTCTTTACAGTAATCAGAGGGAAGCCCTGCCAGCCAGTTCATGGGCCTGGGCTTCAAATTAGAAATAACATCTGAATATCACTTCAGGCAGAAATCCCCATACAAACAGTTGGTTTCATATTCATGATGAGTCCTAAAAGGAAAGGCTTTCCTGGTGGCTCAGACAGTAAAAACAAGAAGATACACACAGTCCAGTGTTGACTTATATATGGAAGAAATTCAGTAAAAGCCAATGATTACAGGAAAGAATAGACCCTTTGATGGCTTCAAGAAAGACTCAAAATTATGTTTAAAACATTACACACATATGGCAGAATCTGCTTTAAATAGAAATGGGAGAAAACACAAATTTGCATCCAAATACCATAGTCCAGGGAAGCATCTCAAAATCTCTTTTGATGGCACCTAATATATTCTGACACATCACTGAAGCTTAAACTTTGTTCTCTGGGGTCTCTGGCTAATACTTTTACACCAGAGTTATAGTGCCTCCAAACTCTTGACCTGAACCCTGAAAGTCAGGACATACATTGCAGATCCCTCCAGAGGATGCAATTTTGTGTGAAGAGACAAGCTCAGGGTACTTATTTTATTTAAAATAAAACAAATGATGCTCAATTTTCAGAATTTATATTCAATCCATCATCAATCACCATTTATCCTGAAAAGCCACAATTGCACTTAAGTAATTTTTCAATGGAAGAAATGGAATCTGAATTTTATAAGCACTTGTATCATAGATGACAAGCTAACTTTGAAATACCCTTCATTTTAAGAAAAGGGAACTTTCCTACACTGTTGGTAAGAAGGTAAAAGTGTGTAGCCACTGCAGAAAATAGTGTGGAAGTTCCTCAAAAAACTAAAAATAGAGTCTCCATATAATCCAGCAATCCCACTCCTAGATATATATCTGGACAAAACTCTAATTCAAAAGGATACATGCACCCTGTGTTCATAGAAGCACTATTCACAATAGTCAAGACGTGGATACAACCTGAACGTTTGTCAACAGATGAATGGATAAAGAAGATGCAGTGATATACACAGTGAAATGTTAGCCATAAAAAATAATGAAATAATGCCATTTGTAGCAACACAGATGGACCTAGAGATTATCATACTAAGTGAAGTAGGTCAGAAAGAGAAAGGCAAATACCATATGAAATCACTTGCATATGGAATCTAAGACACAAATCAACCTATCTATGAAGCAGAAGCAAACTCACAGATATAGAGAATAGACTTGTGGTTGCCAAGGGGTGGGGTGAGTGGTGGAGGAATGGAGTGGGAGTCAGGGGTTATCAGATGCAAATTATTTATATAGAATGAATGGACAACAAGGTCCTACTGTGTAGCACAGGGAAATATATCCTTACTTCATGATAAACCAGAATGGAAAAGAATATGAAAAAGAATGTGTGTATGTATATAACTGAATCATTGTGTTGTATACCAGAAATTAACGCAATATTGTAAATAAACTATACTTCAAATAAATAAATAAAATACCCTCTATTTTAAAGTGGTCTGACTTCATT